TCTCTCTCTCTCTCTCCCTTCTATATATATATTTATATATATTAAACAATTTCTCCCTAATATCGTACATTCATGAGTTTTAAACATTAAGCACTCACTGCGCCTGCGGTCGAGGGTGTTACCTTGATTTCTCAATTATTCGCCGCCCCTTATATCATTCGGGAGTACCGTCATCGTCATCATCATCCATTTCGACCGGAGCGCGATTTGATCTGCATCAATCAACATATTTTCTATTCGCCGTCCACCACTTGCTGCTCCTGAGCTTCCTGCTCCTTTGTCTCCTTGGCATCCTTGTCCTCGTCTAAAATGCGATATTAAGGAGTGTAAAGAAGGTACAGGGTCATGAAAGAAAGAGGCGTTAATTTTATCAGGATATTTCTTGTATAATGTAATTCTTCCTTAGTGTAAATAAATGTGATTATGTAGTTTGCTTTAAATGTTAACATGCAATTTTTTTTTTCATTTATATTACATAGTCTTCTGTATAAATTATTATATATTTTTTATTGATATTTTTTATGTTAATTTAAAAAATTCTTTGTTAAGCAGTTTCTTACAGATAACAATTTATCTTGTTCTTTTTTTCAAAGTAATAAAAGAGAAACTTTGTTTTCTACAATTTAAGATCTGGATATTCTATTTTATTCTTAATTACAAAGACAACAATAGAAAATATGTAAGAAAATATAAAATAAAATTTTTAAACAAAATTAATTTATTTAAAAAATGTATATAGAATAAGCTAAATAGAAAGATTATGTCATTATATTATTTCAAAGTTAGACTATTTAATTAAGCATCTTTATATAAAGTAGCTTTTATATTAAAAAGCTCGAACTTTTTTACATTTCTACCAAAGAAGAGAAATAATTTGAAGAGATTGATAATTTTGTCTGAATTCTTTAATATTTGTGTCGAATAAGAGAGTGATTGCGTATTAAACGAAACGCATTTGCTAATGATTATACTCGTGAGATATTGATTGCTTTATCATTAGGTCAGATCGGTAGTGTACACAACGTCACCAAGGATGTCGCGATGTGATAATGAAACACACGTAATTACTATACCGGGTATCCGAGAATTCGTGGAAAATCCATTTTATAGTATATTGAAAATGAAAGATACGTTATCACACAAAACGTGAAATGTTCGTGCAACTTTTTTAATAGAATTAATTATTAGATTAAAATAGAACAATAATTAGAATTAATTAATTATTAATAACATTAATAGAACGTCAATTTTTTCGATTAATTTAAATATTACTTAATTTAAATATTACGGATCAATAAATAACAAAACATTGTCATGCAATTCGAATTGGATTTCAATAAGATTTGGCGTTTAGTTACTAAAATATATGTCAAATATGTATATATTTAACATTATGCAATGTTAAAACTTAATAAGTTACAGTGAAGTGCAAAAAATATTCCTTAAGCAAAAAACGTTGATAGGACCCTATATACATATTTATTAATTTGATTAGTTTTAATTATATACGCAATGTATACGCAATTATATACGCAATGTAAGATTCTAAAAAAGAAGTTGCGAGACTCTAGAGTAGGTATTTTAATTTTCAAATTTAATAAATTTTTAATTGGGAAAACAATTTTTGCATTATAACAGAATAAAAAATGAGAAGAGAATTATAGTTGTAATTGTAAATTTGTTTAAATTGAAAATTCAAAGTTTTCTTGATCCTCATAAGATATTTCTTACGCACTTCTGAAGAGGATGTCCAACAATTGGGATTCTTAGAACAAATATTGAGATCAGATCAGATCGGATCCAAAAGAGAAATTAAGATTATTCCTAACGTATCACTCACACCTATCAAATATTCCGCAACAGTATATAAATTCACTTACACGATGAACTTTGATAGATAATAAATGAGATACATCTTGATATCTGTGGAAATGTCTGTGGAAAAAGTGGACGAATTAAAATGGAATTGGAAGGAAAAATCACTTGTATGGAGTTATACGTAAGACATATTCACGAAACTTCAAAATTGAAAGATCAAATTAAATTATATTAACATATTTAACTTAATAAAGTGCAAAATAAGAAAAGATCTTTCTGTTTTAATTCTCCTTAAATAAAACCTTTAATAAAAAAATTAAAATAAAGTTAACATTAAAATTAACATGCAATAATAAAAAGATATAAATATTATATACACACATTCAAAAATGATTAATTAAACTTTTCAAATTCAGGTTTATTTGAATTCATTTGTTTGTTGTGCTTGGTTAATTTATTTTCAACAATTTCCTTTTTTCCATCCATTTTTATTCGTGTTTGATTAATAAATCCATTAAAGACCATGCATTGTTCTCTAATGGAAAGAATTTAGTTAAAGACCGTAATTATAATACTATATTTTATTATACAACTGTTCTTACTTTTCATTTAATTCCACAATATTATGAATAATTTATACTCTCAAACGTTTTTATATATTTAAAAACAAGATATTATAAAAAAATTGATACTGGAGAATGTCATTATTATTATTAAATTTATTTTATTCACAATTGAAGTTTTATCCCAAAAATGTGATTGGTCGTTAATGGATTAATGTAATGTGCGCCATATTACATTAATTCCTTACGTGATATGTCGTTTTAGGAAAATAGAAGTTAAGAAAGATTGGTCTTTGTCGAGATATATCGTAATTAGTCACACTATTTAGCGTTCTTACCTTATGCAGATATATTAACACGTAACATATCATGCAAAACAACATTACTCGCACAGTCAGCGACAACGCCAAAGAATGAATTATTTTTTACAATGTATTATATTAGTGCAAAAGTATTTACTAAATAAGATTCAGAACAAAATAACATAGTTTTAAGAAAACTATACCTTTATTAATTGAAATAATTATCATATATTTAGGTTCATGCATTCCTACTTTTTCATCTTAAACCCTTTTCACATCTTAAAACTTTAAACTTAAACTTTCTCTCGTAACTTGAACTTGTAAAAGTATCTTAATATCTTTTGCACTAATTCAATATACACATGAACACACGCGCGCGCACACATACACATATATATTTTACATATTAAATTAGTTTATTGTTTGTCTCTTTACACAATTGTTATATTTTATCCGTTACATCTTGAAGGGTGTAAACGATGATGTTAAGATAAAAAGAAAACTTAACAAATAAGATGTCATTGTAAAACAAAGAGAGTATATTATATAATGATATTATTTAAGGTTTTTATTTCCTCATTGTAATATTGATTAACGGTATTAAAAATAAAAAATTATATAAATTTTTTCTTGTACAATCGAGATAAATTAGTTTTTTCACAAGCAGCTTCTCTTTGTTGGATAAATTTGTATAAAATAGTTCGTATTGAACCAAAGATTCCTTCTCGTAGATTAATAAATAGCTATAAATCTCGATCGATTGTCGTAAGGTTCATTTTTGTTGAAAATTTATTGGAAATCATATCTGCAGCTTGAATTATACATGCACTTACTAATAAAACAAGGGATTTTCTCAGTACGTCTTATTAATCTATATTATCAAACGCACATGTTATAATATATGAAAAAATTGATTTATTTCAATGTATAAAGTAAGAAAAAAAATTCATATATGATTTCTTGTTTTTAACGTCATAGTTTAATACAGCTACAACGAAGAAACAGGAACCTTAAAAGCAAATTTTTGTCTAATCTTTCTCTTCGCACCATTTCTTCACAACACCAATGTGTTTTTATTCATCACTATCATTAAAATATTAATTAATTTGCATATATGCATATATACATGCATATACACTCACACATATATATATATACATTATATATTAAATTCTATATATATTTATATTATTAATCTAATAATAATATTATAATATATACACACATATTATAAATTTATTATTATTAGATTAATCGAAAGATTCGTTCATTATATGGCTCCTTATACTAATAAACAAAAAAATGAAATGAACGAACTTTTCGATCAATATTTTATATTTATATAGAGTTTTAATATTTTACATACTCTTCTTTCAAGCTGACAATCACGTCAAAAGAGTTTCGTGATCATCTAATTATGAAATACAGAGAATCCCCTCCCATTTGTCTGAGTGTAAGGTTTCCACAGATGATAAAGAAAAGACTCGCTGAGACGAGATGAGAAAGGAATTAATTCAAACGAAAAATCGATGAATTTGTTTATTAATAATAATAATGATAAATAATCAACAATATATCTATGTCCAAGAAGTGAATATTCGATATTCGTACTTATTGCTTACTTTACACCTAAATTTCTGATTAATTTCTTTTCTGAATTCTTCGGTGTTTCTCTCTTTCAAGAGTCGTTCGAAAGAAACGGTGAGTTTATTTGTATCAATTGCACTTTCATGCGCTTTAAAATAAAACGGATATACATATGTATATCTAGGCTTTAAAAAGAGATAGAAAAAAACGAAGTGCGAAAGATGCAACTGAAACGAACAAACTTAGAGATGGATAACGGTGTAATTTCGCTGAGTTTTAAAAAATGTCGATTATTTCAAAATCTCTTTCGAAAAAAATATTTCGTGCTGTGTATCAACATGACAACACGAAAGAGAATTCGAGCCTTTGCATCGAGCCAGCCATCTCTTAAAGTAAGGATAAGGATTTATAAATGCACCATTCAAAACAATTAGAAAATAATTAATTCAAAATATGTACAACTAATTAACAAACCATTTAATATTTTCAATATTGTTTCCGATACCTAAACCTGAACTGGTTCTTTAGTTCGTTCTCAGATTTATTTATATATTTTATGCAATATTTTAACCTTCACAATCTCATAATTTATATCTATTTCTAATTGTACAGAACGGTGTAATTTAAATTTGTACATGGCGAAAATGTGAATTTCACTTTTCTATCATCGACACGTTTACGACTTCTTGTACAAAGCATATTTTCGTTTTTTCAAAACCGGAAGACACATTCCGAAAAATAAATTCTAAAGCTGTCTTACTTCTAAAGTTAGAGAAAAGTTGACGATGATTTCGTTTCAAATCAAACGTGAGATGCAGCACTAATCATAAAAAAAAAACCAGAAAGACGAGAGAGTTAAAAAACTTAATTTTAATATCTTCAACGTCGATAAAATTCTAATTTGAACCTCAACGTCTCTAATTTTTATATATCACTCATTCTTTCTTCATATATTTTGCTTCTCATTTTTGATTGCATCTCCTGGTAGAAGAACCGAACTGGGTTGAATGTTATCTTTTGCAACGCAATGAGAGAATATGCTACACATGTTGAGATAACTGGATTGTCCCGGGATACAGCTGCGAGGATTATAGATTTATTTCTGAATTAGATTCAGAGAATTACACATTAGTAATTTTATACTTCACTCTCTCTCTCTCTCTATACATTTTGTATTATTAAAAACCATTAACAAATAATTTGATTTTTAAATCTTAACAATTAATATATTGCAAAATTGCCGGTAATAGCAAACCAACAATAAATATACTTTATAAATTATGTATAAAAGTTATTTATTTTTATTATTTTATATATGTATGTACGTCAAATATTTATTTTATGCCTTAAAACCATATTTTTTAGAAAATAAAAATTACATGCTACAAACCTTTCCATAATTCTTGCAATAGAGAAGTGCGTCTTCTTAATCTAAGAGAGTTTTCGCTCTTATCACACGTTCCTTTGAAAAACTTTTCAAATTTTCAACTGTTTTCCCGCGTAACTGATTCCTGGGACATGTATAACGCACAAAAACTTTTTTTTAGTTATCGAAGGAATTTTATTAACATGTCAAAAAGTCCATTCGCCATGTACGATGTCATCGGCTTAAAAGTATTACAAATCGCTCCATTGAGTCGATCAGGTTCGTCATCTAGATTAAAAAAAAAAGAAAAAAGAAAAATTTGGAAAGCCGAGAATCCGGAAAAAGTCATAGCGTAGCGACAGTATTTATGGATAACAATTTTAAGAGCCAAAGCATGATCGATATAGGCATTAATTAATGTCTGCCTTTTCTAAATGTTTCAGCAAGAAAGACAAATTTGTTAGTTAATATTCTCTTAAATTTTGACAGCGCGTCTTAATCCGCGTCGATTTTTATATCTGAAAGAGACACTTTTATACATATTGAAACATATTTCAAGTATCTTTCTGCGTGTATCAGTAATAGTCCTCAAGTAGCAGAGTAACGTCAAATCATGTTAATAACGTCTTTAATGTCAATAAGACGTCTTTAAATATCATCTTGCTACTTGGGTCATTAACGGAAGAAATCACAAGAACACAAAATAAAGGGTATCCTTTTCATGATCATTTGCCTACGAGATGACATCAGTCGAGATGAAATGCAGACATTAATTATTGATATTATCGTTCGATATTCATCGTTATATCGTTCCGTAGTATGCGATATCTGCAAGTTGACTTAAATCTTGAAGAAATACAGTTCGGCTTAATGAAACTCGCGTTATGAATCGAGAATATAATAGTCCATTTCCAATTTTTATCTCCTTCTAAAACGACTTCGCAATAACATCCACCGTGTATAATTTGAAACTGGTACAATTTCCGATGAGCATAATTTTCTACGCGAAAGGATTGTAAGAAAATTATCATTTCATTTATTCACAAATATAAATGCAATGGTCACTCAATCGTTAGAATTTTAAATTATACCGGTTTCGGTCCTGCTGTCGCATTCTATCAATAAATTAATGATATTAGATGCTAAATTACGCATTTATCTCGAATTTTCGTTTAACTAGAGTCGCGTTTAGCAATTATCAGTTGTTAAAGAAGGAACGATTCTTACATATATGCTAAATTATGTCGATAGCACGATGATCTTCTTCCAATTGTCATCGATGTTATTTTTTCAACCAATTTTGCAATGCATTAATAAATTATTAGACATTTGATTACACATTGTTTTGGTTTGTTTTCAATTCGAATCATGCTTAGCAATTGTCGGTTAAAGAGAAACCAGTTATATGTACATTTAATATGTACATTTAAGTCAATTCAGCAATAAAGAAATTTGTTTTCGCTGCCAAATTATGCATTAATAGTACGATGGTTTTCTTTCAACAAGCATCTGTACTTTTTAAAGTTAAATTTGCAGATATTGAACTCTGTCTAGAAATGCCTAGACATAATCGAATATGGTTACATGTACAGTCGAATATCCGTATAATCAACTCCCCGTATTATAAATCATCTAAATATTCTTTAAAGAGAATTTTCTTTTTCGCATAGCTTTCCCACTATTCATATTTGCTATGTGATTGCGTAATCATATTAGAATGAGAAAGCAAGTAAAAAAGATATTCAATATATATGTTACTAAAATCCAATTAGAAACTTAAAGAAAAGTATACAAAAAGCAATTTGTTTGATCCTAACGAGTTCACAGTAAAGGCATTCGACTGTATTTTAACGATTTTAACTCACTTAGGGTCGCGCATTTAGCCGTTCTCAATTAGCACACTGTCTGCTATGTCATTTATACGAATCACTTATATATAAATGACATTCAATTTCATGAAAAATTTTTAGGAAACCAAACCCGTTCTCTTCATAACTTACTTTTTTTATCGTAGAATATCATTGCACACTAGCTTGTTACGAAAATTTGATGTCATATTTAAATGGCAGAAATAAAGTGTCATTCATATATAAATAATGGGTTTAACATAACAGTCAATATGTTAAAGATGGATTTATTTTTTATATATACATAGGGTATAATTAAGCATTCGCTGTCAAATTGCGTCGGTCTAGTCTACAAAAGACAACATAACATTCTTTATCCGTTATCAGCATTCACATTCTCCTCAAGTATTTTTGTCAAGCTTCGATTTCGCAATTTGTCTTAAAATATAAAATGATGGCGACGCAAACGACATTACTAAACGCATTAGATTATACATCCTCTTAGTTTACCTTTAATTAGAGTAAACGCATTTAGCGGTATTTAAAGTTAAAGGGGGACAAATTCCTACACATATATATATACACTGAATTCGATTCGACAACAACGAAGCGTAATTAAGACTCCTAATAGCCACATCGGTTTATAATGTAAGAAATAAAAAATGTCAAAATTTTTGTTCGCGCATGCACACACTGAAGTAAATTAGCTTTTCGCAACAATTCGTAGCTGACAGAATAATTTCGAGAACAATTCCGAAACTTTCTCTTCGGTAAATATTATAAATTAATATTAGATCTATTCCGTGTGTCTGTAACAAAAATGAATTTTGAGATCTAGCTTCAACAGATATTTATCAAATTGAGAATTCTCGGCGTGTTTCGTAAATCTATTCTATCAAATACAAGTTGTAGCATATAAGAAAATGTTAATTTACTTCAATGTGTAAAATACTTTTGATACTATATGCCCACACAGTGGGTCCAAACTCCCTTCCTGGAAAGAGAAGGCGAATTTCAGCGAATTCTTCAAAAGCAGCGAACTAAAATAGATCATTTAAAGAGAAACGGGATGTGAAATGTTATATATTGGAATCTACGGATGTAATAAATAAAATTGCGCGTTCTCTAGCCATGTACCGATGTTAGAGAAGTTACGTGAAGCTTTTCCGATCTGTCTTTATCTTTGTTGATTTTATGTCAGCTAGGAGCTAACGACAGAAGATATCAGTCAAAGCTTCCTTTCTCATTGTAAAGTGTGTGTGCAGTTAATTGGAACACACAATTTATACTTATTACGTTGCGAAAACTATACGCTTGCGCATATCTATGTATCGAACCCCTAGAAAAGTATTGCCACAACTCAAAAAATTTCGATTTTGAATTAAGCCTATAAAAAGTATGCCTAAAATGTTACATACGTGCTATAATATCACAAGCGATATGCGAAATAACTTCTGCCGCATGGAGCAGAAGTGTCGTTATTCTTTTAAATCGGTTGCGGTCGCTTGACAAGTGAATCATACCAGACCTGAATTAAATTTATTCTTCTCTCCTAAAAATTATAAATTTTTAAGTCGTGACACTATTCTTCTAGGAGTGTACATATTTCTATTTTTATATATCTCATGCAATTATAAAATTAATATAATTTTTTTCCTGTGCGTCTTGTTGTTAACGATTGCTTTACAGTTTTCCAGAAATGTCTTTACGAATCTGAAATATGATTATAGTTCCGCAAAATTAGATTAACGTTCTCCTATCATAAAATTCGATTTTATATGCCTGTTCCATAAGAATAGCAATTTTATCGTTAAAAAGATAAGGAACAGATGCAAAGATAGACACGAATCTCGAGGTAAAAGAATCTTGGCTGTCTAATTTACAGAAATATAATCTAGTTGCACTATAGACTCGCAGTCAAGATATATTTTTCAGACAATATATTTTGGTTAATAAGTCAGTCAAGCAGTCGCCACTGACAACGAAAAAGTCAGTGAGTAGTGGAGATAATAAGTCGACAGTACTGGCGCTCTGCCTCCGTCCTCTGGAAATTACGAATTAATCGAATTTTCATCTTCGTTAAGATGAAGAGAGTCAGAACCCCCTGGTCCAACGTGCCTACGGAGACGGGCGAGAAGCCTTAATTCCGCCGAATCGCGTCGCTGTACTACCACTACTTCTCGCTAGAGAGAAGATGAAAATCTTATATCTATATATTCCGCAATGCAGTATACAACGCATTTACAACGTGGACATCCTCGTCAGAAGATGATTACTTCGTCATACCATCGTAACAACGTCATAACCCAATTCTTTAATAACGTTAAAAAGGAAAAGAAAAGTAGAAGATAGAGTAAAGCGGTTCAAGCCATGTTCGATTGGCTGGGGTCAGTGTTTTGCGTGTTTGTAGCGGTGGTGTTAGTGGTGGTGTTGGGATTGCTGGCGCTATTATCACTAGAGTTACCGCTAGCACTGGCAGCGGCGCCCGTGGCGTCCGACTGGCCGCCACCTCCGCCCCCGCCGCCCCCGCCGGGATTTCCCTCCGTACCGGTGGTGGCGGCGGCCGATTGCATGTACTTGGGTATCAGCATGCTGTTAAGGATCGGCTGGATTCGCAGCTCATGCTCGGTGAAATTGAAGAGTGGCGGCAATTCACGGCCGCTCGGCAACCGCGTGCCCTGTTCACGTAATTCATTGAAGAACGAGTGCGCACATGCTTGTAGCGGCGTCATGCGCAGCGATGGCGTATATTCCAACAGCCGTGCTACTAGGTCCATCGCTTCCGGCGGCGTACGCGCCCTGAACACCTGCAATCACCATCAAGTTCATGACAAAACCTTGTATTTTCAACTTTCGTTAAATGTATCAATAAATATTCCTTAGATAAATATTACGATATGCTGATCACACATTTGTTGAGACTTTTAGAGACAGACTGTCAGTCTTGGTTTAAAGGATAAATTTTATAGCAAAAATCTTATTCTAAATTAAATTTGTAGAACATTGGTCCGTAATAACGGCGCACTGTACTTGATAAATGCAAGAGGCTTTGCAAGTATGATCCGTTATAGCGGTGCTATGCGATTAATTTCATTGATAAGATCATATTACATAACAATAATAATATTTGAATACTTCTGATACTTCTTCGGTCTCTTTTAAAGTGCAAAAAATAAATAGCGTGTAAAAAGTATATATTTTAATAAAGTCTAATAAATAAAATAAGAAAGTTTATCAGTAACGGCCAATTGTGCAATATTACCATAGACTTACGTAAATAAACTGTGCATTCGTATGCGACAGCTAATGACAACATTGAAGAGCAGAGATATGCAAGATTAGATATTTCCTCCATCACATAATGCACTGTGTTATATTGTAAATATACTTCTAACAGTAAGATAAGAGCATTATAAATGTGCAGTGAGAATAAGAACTAACCTTGACTATAAAACTTATTTGTTTCTTTATGATCAGCAGTGTACCAGTAAGAGGAGCAGTAAGAATACGAATCAAAATCTTTTATTTTCGTGCATTGACATTTTCTGTTCAATGTTTTCAAAAAGTTGAACATTGTGTACAATTATGGAAGATTGAAAGTTGTACGAATGATTAATAACAAGAACAGTTAGTAACATGTAAATTCTCAGTTTTAAATCTCAGTAGGTATCGTAAAGTTTGTCAATTCTCTTGTACTATGAGGTCTATAAAATTCCGTTTAAGAAAATTACACACTGATTCCAAGCACTACTCTCAGTATGATGGATATGAAAGGTCGCGATATGTTATTAAAAGATTCGTAACGAGATGGTTTTAGTCACACTTCGTATGCAAAATTTCAGTTCTTACATTTCATTTTATGGCGTTTAACTCTAGGATCACTATATATGGGTTTGTTCAACCTGGCGACAATTTCAAATTGCTAACATTCTTGGAAATTTTTCCTGTTTAAACATTTACATTTTTCAATCTAGCAAACGGACTTGAATTTTGATTTTATAATTCTGTTTCACGATGTCTGACATTCTCTTGTAAACAAATTTATTGAAAAATATGTATTTGTATCAGAGTTATGTAAAAATAATAGGCTAAAATCTGATAGATCCAATATGTAAATGTTATGTACTATATATATATAATCATATACAAAAATACAATGTGCAGTCCTAGAGTTAAGAAATTTGTTTTGATACCTGCTGAGAACTGAAAATTAAATAATTATGCTTTGTATCGACAATGAGAATGGATAAGGATAACATCGATATTTGTCATTAATATTATCATCAAAAACTTATCTATCTATATTCGAAAATCATCCATTGTAGAACATCTATTGTGCTCATCTATAATTTGTACATTTTAGCACATAGTACTACATCTCCATAAAAGGACATATATCCCAATAAAAACACAGAAAAATTTATAAAGTTTAAATCTACACACCATGTACTTATATATGCAACTTTGTTTATATATATTTTATATATACATATATATGTACCAGCATAATATTGGAATAAATATGTACATCTAAGATGAACACAGACTCCAAGCACTATTCTCTGTGCAATAGACACGAAAGACCACAGTATGTTACTCATTCTTTCAAGTTTGACAAATGCAAGTCTCAAATATCACCAGAACATCAGAGTAAGTGACTCTCAATCAGTCGCCATAACAAATGTAAAATGTAAGAAATCGCGTATAAAAAATCATTAGTGTCGTTAACAGATGAGACTATAGGCAATGAGGAGTTACATGAAGAAGATAATTGATCGTAAAAGAAATCTTGAAGACTATTCTTCTCCTTATTTTCGTTCTCTTTTAAGTAATCATTAAACAAGATTGGGAATAAGTCTGCACGCTCGTCCGAATATCGAAATGGAAGTTTAGATGTTATTTCGAATGTTAGTACAACGGGCCAAGATAGAGAAAGTTTGTGCCAGCCATATTGAACAACACTTGTTGCAAGTCGGATCACTTACTCTAATCTTCTGATGCTCCGTGGAACACATAGGTGTTTCACTCATTCGTTGAAGCATATACTGCAAATCACGAGTACATGTATTGATGATGGGCACCGATCGAGGCGCTATTGCTATTGCCATCGATCTTTTAAACACGAAAAAATAATCTCTTCCTACGAAAGTGCATGTTAAATAATTCTTCATGCAATGTTACATCAAATTCGACTCTACCTTTCCCTTTAACTTGAAAAATTAACTGAAAAATTTCTGTTTTCTGTTTGTCATTATCCTGTTTAAAAAATCCATATTTTTCTGAAATTTGTGTTTTAAGTATATATTTTAAACGATATATATTTCAAAAGATAACTACATTCTCTATCATCTTTATTACTGAAATTATGGATTTAAGATAAAAACGGGCTTCTTAATTATTCATAACAAATCACAAAGTTAATAGACATATGTGTGGAACAAGTCGAAACAATCACATGATGAAGAAATACATAGAATATGTCGCTGGATTTATGTACGTATATAAATACATATTAAAAACAATATGTATAAAGTTATATTTAAAAATAAAATAGTAGAATTTACCTTTTGCCAAGGATGTGACTTAATTTGTGGAAATTTGAATTCGGTATAATTGGGGTTCATCTCACGTATCTGATCGCGCGTAGGCGTACCGAGTACTTTGATAATCTCTACCAGCTGATCGACACCACTATCGCCGGGAAATATCGGTTGACCTAGCAGCAGTTCCGCTAGCACGCAACCTGCACTCCAGACATCTGTCGAGAAAGAGAAAAAAACGTTACACTAAGAATTACAATAAAATATAATAAGAGAAATAAAAAACAAATTAAATAATGTATTTTTTTACATGTCGTTATTAATTACAACGTTTGTCAAAAGATTTTAGATATCTGTCAAGAATTAGATTATTTTTTCGGATATATATCATATACATATAAATTAGAACAAAAAGACACAAACAGCACGGTCAATGATGAAATTCTTTCAAACATAATATGCAATGTTAAACAAAGTTTCATCAAAATTTTGAACGTACCAATCTTTGTAGTATAGTCAATAGCACCGAAAATGAGTTCAGGTGCGCGGTAGTAGCGACTGCAGATATAGGACACATTTGGTTCGCCTTTCACAAGATGTTTAGCTGAACCGAAATCACATAGCTTCAGAACACCAGTATCCGGATCTAGAAGCAAATTCTGTGGCTTGATATCCCTGTGACAGATACCCAGCGAGTGGATGTACGCCAATGAACGGAACAGTTGATACATATATAACTGCAAAGAACAAAGAAAAGCAAAGATTATCTTTTGTAGTATTACATTTAATACTACAATATGTCTGGTTAAGTTTGCAAAACACATTTTTTATAATATAAAAATCTTTATAAAATTTTTCCAGATTCTTTCGAATTGTGTACAAGTCAGTATTTCTAGGTTTTTCAGATCACCGATTACAAACCTGAGGTATGAATAGTAAATTTAAAACGGCGAATATAATCGACTGAAATATTGCAAATATCGCGTACTAAAACATACTTAAGTAGTTGATACTTATGAATCTTATATACATATATTTTAATTTAAGAGAGATTCATAATATAATTAATGACTTCTTAGGTACTGAGTATTGCATGAATGAAAAGAATGTTTCCTTTACAATCAGAGATACTATAACATCTACGTGATTTTCTAAAGATTAATTAAAGATTACAAGATTACAAAAAAGTACAAGCAGGTTTACAAATAAATATCTATTTCTGCGTTACATTATGAGTCTAGAAATATAAAAAAATGAACTTACCTTGATGAAACTGATTGGTATCGTCTGCTTGCTTTTGCTATAATGTCGAGCGACTTTGTACACAGTTTCGGGTATGTATTCCAGGACTAGATTAAGATAAACCTCGTCCTTCTAAAAAAAGAAAGAAAAACGAAAATTCTTTTGCACGTAACATTCATTCAACAAGCGAGGGGGATCTGTTTATAAATATTTGTCGTCTCAAAGGCACACTACTCCAAACCCAAACATTGACGACATATTCGGTATACTATCGTCAGGAAGAAATGTAGAGTTTCCCGCAACTCGCGCGACTTAAATTTTAACGACAAATTCTCTCTAATCAATCCGACAGCAACTTTTTATTTTTAACTATCTTTACGACCTATAATGCTCATCAATTCTTTTTTATTTGTTCAATCTTCTAGCTTTCAACATTACATGTAAATCTTTGCAAATAGGTCTTTCGAGAATTAATTAAAAAATACTAGAACGTAGAAATAGGATTATGATATTTATTCTCATACAAAAACTTTTTTCTTTTCATTAGGAGTTTAATTCTTTCTTATTATTTTCAGGGTCTCAGAATTTATGAATTTATGAATAAAGAAGCACCAATTAAAAATCCATCAGAATCTGTGATTAAAAATATGGAATAATTATAGCGAATTGTGGGATACCCCGTATATAGGGATCGTTTAAGTTAAACGTTTCGTCATTATTATCTCTCTTGGACACACACATCGATGCCCTCGTGTTATTAACATTTACAATTACCACACACGCCTTCAGAAAAATTACGTACTAACAAGACTAGCGAAGCAGCGTAATCTAATCGGACCCAGATTGACATTAAAAAAAAAAAATGACGTTTCGAAGGAATGATACGAATGTGAAGATGTGTTCCTATTTGGAAGCGATAATTCGCCTAGAGTTTCTTTTTTCTCTCGCCAAAAGGAGGACTCTTGTACAAACTACTACTGGGTGCACTTCAACTTACGTCAACGTGAAAAACCGGATTAGTCGCGGTTAAGACGTTCTATAAAATAACATAACAATGTGGCATGCATTAAATGAACATCTCTCGTTTTATTTGTAGGCACGTATGATTTACGTAACGAACCGATAAAATTGATAATTGCGCGCCAATCAAGGGAGCTGTACTGATTAAAGTTACATACTTCGCATCATTTTCTCGCGAATTTCTCTCGATTTATAATAAACAGATTGATAGAGAATTCTTAGAATTTTTTAAACCACAAAATTGGATATCGAACTCATCTTCATGTAAAATTCAAGAAAAATAGATAAGATAGTTACCTTATCACCACTAGAATAAAAGAAATATTTGAGTTTCACAATGTTGCAGTGCTCAAGACGTCGCATGATTTGTAATTCCCTGTTCTGAAATAAAATCGTACAGTTTTATTATAACATCTTGTATTCGTGGCTCATTAATAAATAAAATAAATGGGAAAAAAAATTTAAATAAAAAATAAAACAGAATAAAATAAATAAATATAGAATAAAAAGATAGAATAGAATGTAATCAAATTAAATCAAATTAAGTAAAATAAAATGCAAATAAAAATGTATTATTTCAACACATTATCTAGTAACTATTAACTATTATTATAGCTATTATTATGTGTCGTCAACACATTTTTATTTACCTCATAATTTTAGTTTTTTTGAACCTCGTTACTTAGATATATGTCAGAAAATAAACGTAAAAATGCTTACCTTAAATCGCTTATCCTGGAGAACCTTCTTGATAGCAACCATCTCTCCCGAATCGCAGAGTTTCGCCTGATACACCACGCCGAAGCTGCCATTGCCGATGACCTTGGTGTCGGTATACGCGACCTCCTGAGGACGATCCGGACCAGCACCGGGAGTCGCTACCACAGTCGTTACCTTGCTGCCATCCTTGCCTGCAGGGTACATTGCACTACCCATAGAAACAAATCGGAAAAAACCACAGTGCACGAAAAGAAGTGGAAACAAAAGTGGGAAACCGAACTTCCTCTAAAAAGCAGAAAACGCCCAGAACCTCGAGAATCGAGGGAAACTTGCACCTATTTCGCAAAAACGTCTCGAGCAAAATTGTCTCCATGTTGACAATTATCTTGAAAATTTATGACAAAATGCAACGTATTGTTTTGCAAAATGTGATCTATTAATATCTATAAAAAATAACTTTAGATACATATACTGTATCAGAGAATCAATCCATTTTTATATTATTATTTTCAGATATTTCTCTCTCTTTCTCTCCGAGAACTTTATATTTCGCAGAAATGTAAGAAAAGATCACGCACATCGTTAAAGTCGCGAGTCTGTCGCGATCGTCGCTATTTTCACATGTAGTTCTTGGACATAGGCGACCAGAAGTAATCTAATCCTTGATTTGTTTTTGTTATACTACTAATAGTTTCGAGCCACGCAACTTGCAGAATAAATCGCTGAATGGTGCATCCAAATTGCCCGAAGAAAGCGCTGAGATTTACAATTCACAATTATCCTGCAATTTTGCGAATTCCGACGATACTTAATGTCTTCAATGATCAATAGATTCCTTAATGGGAATACTTAGGCAAATAGACTTCTGACAACTCTTTTTATCGTTCAAAAAAAGATAAAACGCGTAGATTTACATGAAATTGAACGAATATGTACAAGTACAATCGAATCGTTGAGAGACGTTTTCAATCGGCGATAGAAAACGTGCACAATAGCCTTGATGAAGTCTGATAAACAGGCGGTGTAAACTATTGCGAACTATAACCGGGTTTGCTACCATTGCAATGTAAACTTCCTCACGCAATATGCATTTTGCTATTTTCACGCAAGACTTTTGCCGGTCTATTTCTCAACTGCGTCACACTTTTCGTCATATCTTTCATCTGTTGTTAGAAACGGACGCGCCGAATATCGGGTGCATTAGGTTGTTTTAATAACACATCGAGTATGTCATAAGAAGCTTTGTTGATTCATATAGATATCTATTAAAATAGCTTTGACTATTTACATGGATACAGCAAAGTGATCGTGATGCAATTAATAACAATCTTTCTATTTATTAAAAAATTAGACAATAGAATTAAATAACTAACTAATAATTCCCTTGTAATAATAAAAAAGTTCTAATTATTGAAATTTAATATCAAAATAATAGTTATTTTTTTCATAATCTTTATATTTACAGAATATGATAATAAAGAATTATTTAAAGGACTACTTAAAATTTACTTGAAATAATAATTGCTTTGCATGTATGTGCTGTAACTTCATCATTACTTTGACAAGAGCAAGGTTAATCAAACTCAATTTCTGTGAAAATTGTATTTTGTTATTGGCAAAGTGGGTTAAGAGATCCTTGATCGAGATACTTTTCGAAATTAGAGAATCACCTGCTTTCGAGTTCGAAGGTGAATATTACGAGGATTCCGATTTGCGAATACGCCGCGAACGATTAGTCTCCACGTGAACGGTGTCTTGTCTTCTGACATATTTGCGACATTTTCAATCATTACTGTCAACCATAGATTGAAGATCGCGAGCGACTCATTTGTTTTGTGCAGTACTTCGCGAGATTAATGCCGATTAGATTTTAATATCTAGTGTAAAACCCTTTGTAGACAATCTATAATAAAAATCTAACCTATAATTTTGTATATGTTTGATTGTAAATAGACAAGAAAAGAATTTATATATATTATTCATTATAACGGCGAGATATGGCAAACAACCGTTTCGTTCAAGACGTTAAATTATATACGTGAGAGACACGCAATTATTATAATTATACACCGGCAACGGATACGAAAATCTCGTATCTGATTTATAGTTGCAAGAATTGAACAATACAGCGAAAGCAATCTTGTCACGTTCCTATGAAACGCCGCTGCATTGGCAAGACACTGAGCGTGTTACCGCGCGGCCAAATTAAAGCATGACGTGTACAAGATTTCCCAAAAGAATACGTTAAAAAAAATCAATTAATATATATAATATAAATAACAATATAAAAATCAAATAATGTTAAAAGTATTGCACTCTCTTATTAAGCAGATATTATAACAAAATAATTTCAGATTCAGATAAGATTAACATACACAAATGTATGTATTGGTTTTATTTTATTTATTTTTTATTATTTTTAAATGCCGATTCTCTGAAGTATCTCACATATTGTTACCTCATCCCAATAACATGTTTTTCCTTTACCAAGATACATACATCTTATTTTTGTATCTTCTAAGTATAGACTGAGAGATATAGTAATAAAGAATTATTTTAATTAATAGTATTATTTTGGACGTGTTTCTAAAAAATTTCTACTAAAAATCAAGAAAACCAAAGATAGAGCCTCAGAATAATTTCCGAGACTCTTGAAAGGGCCTAAAAAAAAATTAAACAAACATCGCGCCTATATGGAGGAAATGGGTCAAGCGACAGTCGAGGCTAGAAAATCCAGCCGACTACTTAGTCAGCTAGCCAGCTAAATCCAGCTTGCGACAAAAAGCGCAACGAAGCGATGCACAGCAGCTGCATCGCGTACGATGCCGATCCTTTTATCGCGTTACGCGCGCATCGGAGGAGACTTCGACCTTTCCCATGGCGTGCAGCCCCTACCTGTGAAGCAAGAAAGCTTCAGAGAATATCTGTATATCGGTCCTCATGGTGACATTTTGTGCGACTTAAGGGGGCGTCCCTCGTTATATCGAAGGCTTCTTTGTCGACGTCAGAGGCAATCGTGCTCGGTTTAACGAAATAGGCCGCGCGGATAATAAAAAAAAGGGGGGATTAATCAAGCCAGAGAATAGCGGAAGAATAAGGTTCGAGACAATCTCTTTTATGATTAGATCTGCTGAACGTTGCGATTTGCGCAAGATTATTTTGATATTTTTACGATGTTCCATTATCAGTACACACAATTGTGTACTGATAAAAGACTTACATAATAATATATAATTAATATTACAAAATGATTTTATTCTATATAATTTATTTTATAATATAAAATAATTAAATATAGAAAAAAGGAGTATTAGAGAAAGTATTAAATTAAAGAAATCATCAGTGACTGACTGTCAATTTTGATATAACTCTTTAATTTACTGTTATACGCGGACTATATTAGATTTTTTTATTATCACTTCACTGTTTTTTTCGTTTGATTACAAAACGTATTCATTGACCGTTTGCTCGAATTCTATAATTAATATTCAGTTTATATTACCATAACGGAAAGAGCCTCCTTCGATGCCTCCTCGCGAGAAGCAGTATCGAGGGTAACAGATACCCATGAACTTTCTCTTCAACCCTTTCGTCTCTCTCTTTCTTCTGCTTTCTCGATCTGTTCTCAGTCTCGAATAGACAGAAAAACCACATCACACACGGTAGGTGCGACCAAGAGTAAATACGGCACCGCCAAGAGACGGTGTAAATGTCAGAGGATCACGCGCTCTCGATACATAAAGTGGTAGGTAGGTATACTTGACGACATTTATTAAATACGTCATCTTGAAGATCGGCCCCCTTCGCTCAAATAGAAATCAGATCAACGTGAAATTGCCCTGGAAACTCCGAAACGCGCCGATCAGCAATAAATTGGTTTTTTTTTTTTTTTTTTAGAAGAATAAGATAAAGACATTGGTTTCCTTTAATGACATGAGAATGTATAAGAAAATCTCAGAGAACTATCATCGAGAAAAAAGTTGAAACATTTACATGTATAATAGCAGCGCTCTTACATAAACAGAAACAAAGTAATATGCTGTCGATAGCATGTTTTTGTTATATCCTTGAGAAATTTTATCCAAATTTGTAGTAAAATTTTATTAAAATATTTTGTGTACCTATATGTATATATGTATGCGCGCGTCTATAATTAACTCTTTAATAAATTTTTAATTGATAATTATACAAAATTGAAAAAAAAAAGAACTCGAGGTTAGAGGGCAGATAGTAAATGTCTAACATAACTCGAAAAATTAATCATGTTTAAGAAATAGAATATATTTTAATTTTAATGTAAACGCGATTTACTTACATTTTATAGAATATATAAAATCTTTGCATCATAAATCAAAATCGTTCTTGTCATTCTATATATAAAAGTATCAAGAGCATCGTAAAATGAATGAGTCACTTCAGATTTTACGTCAAGAAATATCGAAATAAAATGTTTCGAATGTGAAACTTGCCGTCTAAGTCCCATAATTTCTTTTTAATACTCCATAATAAATTTTTAAATATAATAATATATATGAAATAAAATTTCTCATTATTAAATTATAATTAATTTAAAGTTTAGCTTAACAAAGATTCATAATATTTCACAGTATGTGAAAACTTTATGATTCTATTTAAAGCTATAAAATTATGAGATACCAACGCGTTTACATACACACACACAAGGTACATCGATCGCTCAATAGACTTACGTTTCTTATTGCTTAGTCGGCGCAAGAACTTGCAGAATTTTTTATAGGCAGTGTTGGCCTCTTTGCCACCCAGTTCCACGGCGCTCTTAGGACGCTCGTTTTTCTGTCCGGTCGCCGTCGGACAGAATTTTGGATATCGCCACTGCTGACACGGTTCTGACCAATCGAGATTGTTTGCTGGAGCCATGGTTTCTAGAGATCGATCGATTATTTATTGAAACGTCCCACGATATATCACTACTATAACGCTTCGTTTTTGTTCCGTCTCATATTTTGAAATATCATAATGTGAGACTAGGTTTCGATTAGTTCTCCGTGATGGCTAATTATTGTATATTGCGTCACAGAAATTTTCTTCTGTCGTTTTTCGATCATACAGTTCCTTTTCTATTATTAATCCTCTGTTATAGATTTTCTTTCTATTATTACTTTAAGTTTATTATTCTTTTTTTTATATTATAGATCAATATGCTTATTACTTTTTACTATTATTATAACT